TTCGTTAAAATTAAAACTAAATTCCAGGACAATATGCATAATCCTTGGCTGAAAAAAATACGTTAATGTATACATTAATATAGCGTATATTCCTCTTGATATTTGCATAGTAATTTATTTTACATTTTTGATCTGAAAGACTACTTTCTGTATATTCTCTGTGGTATTTCTTGTGACAGTTATTTACTCTTACCTGCATTTTACACAGTTTCATGGTTATTATTCAGTCAGTCATTAGAACATTCTTGGTTTTTATTTCAGATATGTATTTGGAATGTGTTTTAAATTATTCTGTTAAAAAGATTCTTTCCTGAGTTAGTTTGATGCCTCATTCACGTGGGTCTTAACTTGAATTAAACATTTAGCATTAGAGTTCTTGGTTTGGGTAGGGCTTTTGAACACATTAGCATTACCATTCCTTAATTCTAAAGAAGCTTTTGGACTTTTATTAGGTATGTTTATCAAACATTGACTGTGCCATGCATTAAGCTAAGTTCTGTGGGTTACAAAACAGAAGCACAGTTTCTACCCTTAAGTAAATAGTTTTGTAGGAAAGATGAGATGTACAAAAATTAAAAGAATATATATTTCCCTATGTGTGTGTATTCTACATACCAGTAGCTGTGTATCAGTAGAGTTTGTGAAGGTGTGCATGTGTGTGAGTGTGAATGTGTGTGTTCAGACAGAGCACAGCTCCAGCTCACAGCAGTGTTAGAGACTTTGCTTCCTTTTGCTTTTATTAGGTGTCTTCTGTGTATATGCTAGATACTATGTTGGGGCTTTTTATATTTTATTTATATAAACGTGCGTGTGGGTGTCTGTATTCTTGAAGGTATAAGTAGTTTATTGGTTATGAAAGAGCATAGGCTTTAGAGGTAGTATTGGGTTCAAATCCCAAAACGATAAAATATTCATGGCCCTGGGAGCATGATTACCCAAAAGGCTAGAGAAATTACTGGATAAGAGAAGAATATCACTTTTATTTTTCATCTTAAAACAGGCGTATCAGGCTGTTGGATGGTATGCTGAATATGATATCGATTCACCAGAGAGAGTCAAGCCTTTTGTCTTAGCTATGAAGACAGTGAATTGTTAAAATAAAATGTCATGTTTCTGTGTTTCAGTTCTTCAGCATGTGAGCAAATAAAATTCAACCAAGGAAAGGTATTAGAGATAGCTGGATGCTGGTATGTTTTATGAAGGATTGCTAACATTATTGACATTTGTTTTGTTTAGTTTTAGTTAACTCTTTATAAAAGAGGAGACAGTTTTTCTCTATTGACAGAAGCAAGGAATATTTTCCCACAACCTGTTTGAATAAATTCCTTGGCATTTGATGATATAGTGTTCATATTTAGTAAATCGCTGTGAGCATTCTTACGCCATTTGCCTTTTGCAGGAACCCCAATTAAAGGAATTCTCTTTTCTGAGAACCCAGCACATGGACTTCATGCCAAAGGATCAGTTAAAACAGCAGTTTTTATACCCAGTTTTTCTAACAGGAGCACTTTACCTCCTTTCTTTGAGATTAGGTTGATTATTTTCCTATGGTAAATGCATTTTGAGTAGCACATTTTACCTCTTATAATAGAAACGTCACCAGCTGCACTTCTTTGCATAAAGGATGAAGTATAGCATGAGGTGTATAGAGTGAAATAAGTTACTTTTCTTTCATATTTTTTCCCTTACATTTGATTTTGCTTTGGCTTGAGTGGCTCATCCCTGAAGAGGCAGCAACTGTGGGCATGAATGTGTGGATGTATGAACTGGCAATGTGTGTGTGTGTGTGTGTGTGTGTGTGGTAAAAAGTAAATCTAATGAAGCATTTGCCATTTCTACAATTTTTACATGTATAACCCAGTGACATTGCTTACATTCATCATGTTGTGCAATCACTGCAGCTGTCCTTTTCCAAATTATTCCACCACTCTTAAAACAGAAGCTAAGTGTCCCCTAAGCAGTTACTCCCCCTGTTATGAATTGAATGTGTCCCCCCAGAATATGTATTATAATCCCTAATCTCTGTGCCTGTAGTTATAATCCCATTTGGGAATGGGTTGTCTTTGTTATGTTAGAGAAGCAGGATTAGTGTAGGGTGTGTCTTCAGTCAGTCTCTTCTGAGAAATAAAAGAGATTAAACAAGCAAGTGAGGAAGCAGAGATGGGGGAAGAGAGATGCCAAGCCACATGAAGATTGCCCAGGAGCAGAAGCTCAAAGAGACAAAGACCTTCCTTCAGAGCCGACAAATAAAGAAAGCCTTCTCCAAGAGCCAGCACCGTGAATTCAGACTTCTAGCCTTCTAAACTGTGAGAAAATAAACTTCTGTTGGTTAAAGCCACCCATTCATGGTATTTATGTTATAGCAGCACTAGATAACTAAGAGAGAATTTGGTACCGAAAAGTGGTGCTGCTGCTCTAACAAGTACCTACAATGTGGAAGTGGTTTTGGAATTGGGTAACGGGTGGAGACTGGAAGAGTTCTAAGGTGCCTAATAGTAAAAGCCTAGATTGCCTTGAAGCAACTGTTGTTAGAATTATGGACATCAAAGACAATTCTGGTGAGGGCTCAGAAGGAAGTGAGGAAAGCTATCGAGAAAGTCTCTGTCATCTTAGAGAATACATATGCGCCAGCAGCAGAATGTTGCTAGAAATGTGGACATTAAATGTGCTTCTGGTGAGGCTTTAAAAGAAAATGATAAACGGAAAATGGAAGAAGATTGATGGTTTTTATGCAGTGGCAAATAACTTGTCTAAATTATATTCAAATGTTTGGTGGAATGTAGAACTTCTAAGTGATGAACTTGCATATCTGGATGATGAGATTTCTAAGCAAGATCTTAAAGGGGCCACATGGTTTCTTATTGCCGCTTACAGGAAAATGCTGAAGGAAAGAGAGAGATTTAAAAATGAACTGTGCAAAATGAAAACAGAACTTACAGATTTGAAAAATTCTGTTGTACGAAATAAGGACACATGTCCCAGAATTTTCACCAGGGATGTGACTACACAATCTTCTGTTAAAAAGATTAAGCCTGTGACTGATGGATCTAACCAACTACCACAGCAGAAAACCCATCAGCTTAGACTGAAGGGGTTAGAGACGCAACGAAAGGAAAGAATTCTGCAGGCAGGAAACAGGCCAAAGGTGCTACATCTGTTGTCCTCCAGAAACACAAAAGGACCATCCAGAGACCAGCAGAACTGTTGATAGGAGCGTGGGAAACAGGGCCTTCTCGGTTTCAAAGGATGGGGCCACAGCCTGCTGGGTTTCATAGAGTTGGCTCTTCGCCAGCTCGGTTCCGGAGTGTGGGGCTGCCATTAAGGTGTGCCAGAGAGATGGGGCCGCCACCCAAAGCTGAGGGGGTGGGACTGCCATGCCCAAGGGGCAGAAGACTGGGGCCTGCCAGGGCCAAGGGGCTGAGGTCGCCACTCAGCTGGACCAGGAGAATGGGGCCTGCACAGAGTCAGGGGAGTAGAGTTGCCATCCCACTGAGCCTGGAAGGCAAAGCTGAAGCCCAGGGCTGAGGGGCCTTCACCCAAAATCCAGAGGGCATGGCCAACACCCAGAGTCTGGAGGACAGGGCCAGTGCCTAGATGGTTCCTGTTAGGAATATTGAATTGTCCCCCAAAAATGTGGGTCAGTTTGGCTAGGCCGTGATTCCCAGTATTGTGCGATTGTCCACCATTTTGTCATCTGATGTGATTTTCCTGTGTGTTGTGAATCCTACCTACCTCTGTGATGTTAATGAGGCAGGATTGGAGGCAGTTACGTTAATGAGGCAGGACTCACTCTGCAAGATTAGGTTGTATCCTGAGTCAGTCTCTTGAGATATAAAAGAGAGAATGGAGCAGAGAGACGGGGACCTTGTTACCACCAAGCAAGAAGAGCCAGGAGTGCACGCATCCTTTGGACCTGGGGTCCCTGTGCTGAGAAGCTCCTAGACCAGGGAAAGGTTGATGACAACGACCTTCACCTAGAGCCAACAGAGAGAGAAAGCCTTCCCCTGGAACTCGCACCCTCAATTCAGACTTCTAGCTTACTAGACTGGAGAGAAGAAACTTGTGTTTCTTGCTGTCTACTTGTGGTATTTCTGTTATAGCAGCACTAGATAACTAAGGCAGTCCCAAAGAACACAGGGTTATTTTCAAGCCTTGAAAGCTAATGTAAATTTTTGGACTTGCTGGGTGCCCATTATCCCTTCTTTCCCTCCAATTTCTCCCATCTGTAATGAAAATGTCTACCTTGTGCCTGCTTTACCATTGTACTTTGGAAACAGATAACTTGTATTCTAGATTTCACGGGTTCACAGATGAAGAATTTTGCCCCAGGATGGAATACACCTAAAGTCTCACCCGAATTTGATTTAGATGATTCAGAAAATGAGATTTTGGACTTGGAGTTGATTTAAGACTCTTGAGATGATGTGATGGGGTGAATGTATTTTACATGTGGCAAGGACATGAATTTGGGGGGGGGGGGCAGGGGACCAGAGGGGACACAATTCAATATTCATAACAGGGACCATCTAGGTACTGGTCCTGTCCTCCAGACTCTGGGTGTTGGCCATGCCCTCTGGATTTTGGGTGGAGGCCCCTCAGCCAATGTTACGGATTGAATTGTGTCCCCCAAAAATATGTGTTGTAAAACTTAACTTCTATTCCTGTGGTTATAATCCCATATGAGAATGGGTTGTCTTTGTTTTGTTAATGCTAACTAAGATAACTAAGACATCCCTTTTTCCTCTCCCTCCCACCCATGGTAACCACTAATAAACTCTGGTCTCTAAACATTTGCCTATTTCATATAAGTAGGATCATGTAATACTTGTCCTTTAGTGACTGACTTATTTCTCAGAATAATGTTTTTGTAAAGTTAATCCATGTTTGTAGCATGTATCATGTCCTAGCACCATTTTAAAGCATGTAAATGAAAAGACCTTGTACAGACCCAGATAGATATATGATTGACCATTAAACTCTCTTTCCTTATGTTTCCATAGGAGTCTCCCCAGGACAGTGCTATCACCCGGGATATTAACCGAACATTCCCAGCCCATGACTACTTTAAGGACACAGGAGGAGATGGACAAGATTCCTTATATAAAATATGCAAGGTATTTCATGTCGATAAAAAAAGACTCCATTTTGAGAAGTGGTTCTTATTCTTTGATATCTTACAAAAATCAACTACAAAGTTTAATTGGTATGTGATGGTCAAGAAAGCAAAAAATCAAAGGTAACAACACAATTTTAGATTCATTAAAGAATGGAAAGTAATTTAGAAAATAAAATGGTGGGCTTTCTTTTCCCCTTTTAATCTGAGGAGTTTCTGGTAACAGTTTCTTGGCTCCCATTTAGCCTTTCAAAAATTGGTTTTATGTTAAGAGCCTGTGAATCCTGTAGCAGTGCAAACTCCTATTCAGTATTTACATTGTAAGTGATGAACTTGGCACCTATAAGACCGTCCAACAGTGGGAAGTGCTGATGCCCATCTAGGTTATTCTCCTTCCTCTCTCATGACTGTGCAAACACCCTCATTAATTTCTCTTACTCTGCCTCACGCTGAAACAGAGGCCTCCCTCTGGGTGCTCAATCTATAGTTCTTCTTGCTCTACACTCTCATCCTGGCTGATGCTTTCTACTCCCAAAACTTCAGCTGCCACCACTGTACAGATGTTCCCAAATCTGCATTAGCACAAGCCTAAATTCCCAGCTGTACAAGTACATCCAACAAAAGATGTCTAAAAATACAGTTAATTTAAAAACATGTTTATTATGAAAATTTTCGAACATACACTAAGTTGAATAGTATAATGAATTTGTGTATATATATATATCCCCCACCCAGATTCAACATTTATCAACATATTGCCTCAGTTGCTTCATCTACCCCTTTTTTTTCCCCTGAAGTACTTACTTTAAAGCAAATCCCAGACATAATGATCCTAAATCCTTCACTATGCTACATCTCTAAAAAGTAAGGATATTTCATAAATAACTAGCTAACAAAATTAACAGTAATTCTTCAACACCATCCAGTAGCTACTTCATATTTAGATTTCCCTAAATATCTTTAATAAAGTTGGTTAGAATCAGGATCCAACAAGGTTCACATTACGTTTAGTTGTTATATCTCACTTTTAATTGAAAACAGTCTTTTTACCCACCCTTGCCACTGCCTTGCTGAAGATATAATTATTTCTCTATTAGTTTTCAGTTCCTTTGTCCACACTGAGTTTATTATGATTTATGTCTGTCATAGCTGTACATCCCTTTCTATCCACTGGCCTGGTACAGGCATGTTACCATATGTTACTGACACTTTTACAAAAGCTGCCTTGCCTTAGTCTCCCTGCCTTTGTGTTCTAACCTGTTTAGTATTTATTCTTTGTTGACCTCTCCATTGGATTGTTTCAGTGGCCTCCACAAAAACCTTTAGTGCTGCCGTATAACTCACAGAATTAAATAAAAACTCCTTAATTCATTTTCTGGTCCTAGATTCCTTAGCTTAGCATTCAAGGCATTTTGTAATATATCCTGGCTAATTTCTTGCTGCAAGAACCCCAAATATTTTATGCTTCAGCCACATTGAACTTCTCACTGTACTCTAATTTTTTTACTTTTCTAACCTCCCCACTGAACTGTGAAGTTCTCAAGGGCAGGAATCTTTTCTTATATATGTTAGCATCTGTAGCACTTGACATAGTGCCTTGCATGTAGTAGGTGTTCATTAAATGTTTGTGAATTAATGAAACACCCTTTCTTTCCAGTATTTCATTACGTTTCACATGAGCCTTATATTCCAGACATTTCCCAAAATATATCATGTACTTTCATGTCTCTATGCATTCCCTTAAACTCTTCCATCAGCCTGAAAAATATGCTCCCCTCCATTCTCTACATACAGATATTCAATACATAGAACTGGGCAGCATTTCTTTCTGTTGTACATAAGGTCACCATGAGTTGGAGCCGACTTCGCGGCAGCTAACAACAACATAATCGATTGAGCCATGTGCCGAGCACTTTACATGAGAGGACTGAATGAGAATAATACATCAGCTCTATGAGATAAATCTCTGATTATTGTAAGGCATGTAAGTAATGTGCCCAGGATCAGACCTAGACATTAGCATTTATGGGATTTGAGCCAACTCTGACTAATTCTAAAGCCTTTGCTGTTTCTTAACCAGTAAACGATTGATTTATACCTTAAAAAATATTTCCAAACTGCTTTCCAAAGAGCTGTGTTGGTATGTATTGCTACTATTTTTTTTTTAACAATCTTAACAACATTGGTATTAAATTTGTTAATGTTTATTAATTTGGTAGTTATAAAGGTGGAGTCTTATGTTACAAACTGATCATTTTTAAAGCTCTCTCTGCACATCTTCTATCACTGGTCTTTCAGTATGTTGTACTGTGGTGGCTTGCTTGTTGCTATGATGCTGGAAGTTATGCCACTTGTATTTTAAATATCAGCAGGGTCACACATGGTAGACAGGTTTCAGTGGAGCTTCCAGACTAAGACAGGCTAGGAAGGAAGGCCTGATGATTCACTTCTAAAAATTAGCCAGTAAAAATCTTACAAATCACAGCAGAACATTGTACAACTCACTTGCTTTGGACATGTTATTAAGACGGATCAGTTGCTAGAGGAGGACATCATATTTGGTGAAACAGAGGGCTGCTGAGAGCATGGGAAACTCTCAATGAGATGGATTGGCAAACTAGCCACAACAATGGACTCGAACATGCTGGCGATTATGAGGATGAAGCGGGACCAGGCAGTGTTTCCTTTTGTTGTACATAAGGTTGCCATAAGTCAAAGTAGACTTAATAGCAGCTAACAAGAATAACAATGCACACATCTTGTCTTTGGAAAAGTACACGTGTTTCTGATCCTGTAGTCCTCTCATGAGATAAGCTTTGATGAAATTAGGGGTATAATGAGATTACATTGAATTCTACCTGAATTTCTAAAAGCATGGTTATATATATTTTTTAAAGCTATAGTATATGTATATTTTTAAAAGCTATTTAATATATATATTTCTTAAAGTGTCACCAAAAGCTAATGATAAAACCCAAATGTATATGTATTAACTTGAGTAGGCTTTGGCGTCACATTTTGCTAAGTGATCTGAATTCTAAACTTATTCTAAATTGCTTTCTTGGAACACAGAGAACATTTACAAAAAGTAAATGGAGAATAAAGGGAGTTTCACCAGAAATGAATTTGTCAAACAAGCAATAACATTTTGAATCTACAGGAATTCTCCTTCTACCACAGCCTACATGAGAACTATAAATATTAATGAGGACTAAAAACCAGAGAGCAAACCATGAGGAATGTTAGATGTCAATATTCTGTTTAAAAGATAATGTTCAAAGGAGATGGGTAGTAATCATCTGCTGCCAAGAAAATACAAAATAAGAATTCCAGAGAAACCCACAGATGATTTCAGAGTAATCCCTCTTATCAGAAAAGTTATTATTGGCATGTGGAAAGAATCATTTTTTGGTATCTTTGCCAAGACTTCTTTCCCAGAAAGAAAAATGAGTAACATTTACAGTGAATTCCTGCTATGTGTGAGGTACTGGCTAGGTTGAATAGGACATCATCGTAGTCCTCAAGAAGCTCACAATCCAGTAGTGAAGATGGACATTGAAAACATTGTGGTAAGTGGTATAATAGACATGCGTGTGTGCCAAACGCCAGAGAAGCACAGAGACGAGAGGAGTTAAGTCTGGGGGAATAGGAATATGTTTGGGGCTTGAAGAAGTAGTGGGTTTTCAAGCACAGAAGAGGAAAAAGCACATCCCATGCAGAGGGAGCAGCATGAGCAAAGACAAGGAAATACGAGAACCTTTTTTTAGTGCTGAACTAGATTTTGCTTAACCTTTTCCACCCCTTGCTCACAGGAGTAGTATGGTGACAGTTATATTTATTGTAAAGAAAAGGTTGAGACTGGAGAGAGATGTTGGTATTATTCTTTGACTATCAAAGTGCCACAGTGGGATGTGGGTAGCATCTACCAGGATCCTACAACCATGGCCCACAAGTGACTGTTTACACTTCTTGTTTTTTTTCCAGGCTTATTCTGTGTATGATGAAGAGATTGGCTATTGCCAGGGCCAGTCATTTCTTGCTGCTGTGCTGCTTCTCCATGTGAGTAATTAGGTCTCTGTTAATGACCTCCATATGGCCTGCCTCAGTTATACTAACCTTACACTTGAGCACGGTTTCATACTGGGTTTGGCCAGACTCTTCAGCATGAATTTTAACTCTAGCATCTAGAAACTTTTTCCTTAAATTAATAAAATATCATTATGGAAGAGAAACAGAATAAATGGCAGTGTTGAAAACTAGTACACAGTAGACTTTGTTTTTATTACTAGGAAGGTTGGATAAACTTTAGTCTTGGTTGCAGCCTTAGGGACATTTTATCTTCTCTTAAATTGCCACTTTCGTTAATATTTGTTTTGGGATTTATGTATTGGAGTGGAAGGAAGACAGAGAAGTTGGTTTTCTTTCGTGCTATTTTATTCATTCATTCAGTGAAGACTCTCCCTCCCAACTTTTTTTATTTTGAAAACTTTCAAATCTACAGAAAAGTTGGGAAGAAATATGATACAGTGAACACACCCACATACTGTTCACCTAATTTGCCAGTGAATACTCTTCCACATTGCTTTCTCTCTTAGTCTCTATCCCCTTCCCCACTCTATCCCTCTCTTCCTCCACATACAAACACACACACACACATTTTATTTTGAATTATTTGAAAGTAGGTAGCAAACATCATGATATTTTACTCCTAAATACTTGAGCATGTATCTCCTAAAGACAAGGGCATTCTGCAACATAACCATAATACCATGATCACATGTAAGAAATTCCACATTGATTCAGTAATGTCTGATACATAGTCCACATTCAGTTTTCCCCCAAATGTCTAGGTAAACTCCTTTATACCTTTTTTTTCCCCCCAAGATCTAATCAAGATTCAGGCATTGAATTTGGTTGTCATTTCTTTGTATTCTCTTTTAATCTAAACAAACCCCCTGTCTTTTTTGTGCGTATCATGCTATTGACACTTTTGAAAAATTTAGGCCAATTGCTTATGAAATGTTCCACATTGATTTGTGTGATTGTTTCCTCGTGATTAGATTCAAGTTAAAATGCTTTGCAAGAATACCACACAGGGGTGTCAGCAAAGAATTTTGACCACCTGTTATGACCTATACTGTGCTGGACATCAGGAGTAAGCTAGACTTGGTCCAAATCCTCATGGATGCAGAGCTAGTGAAACCAAAATAATCATACAAGTGTATCACTATTAATTTCAAGGGTGCTATGAGGTGCCTGAAAAGACAGACTTGGTGATCTGCTTCTGAAAGGTCACAGCCTTGTAAACCCTGTGGAGCGGTTGTACTCTGCACAAATGGGGTCGCCATGAGTCAGAATAGACTTGAGAGCAACCAACAACAAATAATAAAAATACAATATTTATAACAGTATAATAGTATAATAAAAAGTTTGATGCAAGATTATAACAAGGGACCCTTATTTAGATTAAGGAGCTAGGAAAGGCCTCTCTGGGGAAGTGACCTTTAAAGTGAACCTTGAAAAGTGAGAGAGGAGGTATCCATTCTCTTTTGTACTTTTCTGTATCATTTAACTTTTTTTATGTATTGTTATGAAATAATAAAAGTATTTTAAAAAGCAAAAGAATGGAGAATAGAGCATTACCAGCAAAGGGAGTAGTATAGTATGTAGAAGCCATAAAGTGAGGAAAATGTGGCATATGGAAGGAGCTGAAAGAAGGGCATTGTAACTGGAGCCTCATAAGTGATGAGAGTGGGAGAGGGAACCAGAGAGGTAGACAAGGACCAGCTTAGGAAGGGCCGCGGAGATCAGGTCAAGGAATCTGGATTTTGTTTCTTTATACAAGGGGAAGCTTTTGAAGGGTTTTTAAGCCATTTTGTGTAGGTTGCAATACAAGTAAAACGAAAACCACTTTGTCTTTTCTTAATGTGAACCTAGCTTGTTGTGTTGGTAGGCATGTAAAATTACAATGAAGCTATGACATTAATAAAGGAGTTAAGTTTTAAAATTTGGTTTTGTTTTGTTGTTTGAATCAGATTTTATATCTCAGAGTCTCACAAGCTTGTCTGGTTTGTCTTTGTTCTCAACTTCATTCCAAGGACATTTAGCCCTATTTAAGTATCACAGCCCCTTTAAAATGGTTTCCTGGTCAAATCCATGATGTCTTATATTGAACTCTGTGCTGTTTTGCTGTAGTGTTACTGTTTGGATTATATCAGTGATCTGGCAGTGTCATCAGATAAAATAAATGCTAGTTTCAGAGTGAGGGGAGATGGGATACCTAACATCAGCAATGCCGCCCAGGGTCAGCCTGTGTGTCCCTCAGCAGTGTGGGAAAATGCAGTTGCCTTTCATATCAAAGACCTCAGAGGTCTAGCCCTTTGCCCCAAATACCCTTACCTTTTCAATAATAATCTGCTGTTCTTCTCTAGTTTATTACTCAATCTGATTTGCTCTTTAGCCTTGTTTTATGGCCAGTGATTTCCGTGCTCAGCCCACCTCCATCATTTTGTTCCACAGAAGTCCACCCACCTTCTTTACATTTTTGAAATCTTGCTACAGTCACACCAAGCCTTAAATAACATTTCCAGTGCTTTTTTTCTGTTTTGGAAACTAGACATCTTGCCAGGTTTATAGGCAAGTATTTATGGAAGTATTTTTCCATAAAGCTTTGGAAGTTATAGGTATTATTATAAATAGGTACCATTTGTAAACAAAAGTGAAGTAGGGTTTTTGTAATACTTTAGTTTAAACGTTATTGTAGACTTAAGTATTCCTTAGAGTAGGTAACGTTCTTCCTAACTAGCTATGTTTTTTAACAACGATAAGGAAGAAAAACATTTTTACTAGTATGAAACAACTGCTGAGGGAAGTAAGATGATTTAACAAAGGTCTCATGACAGTTTGGGAAAGACGAAACCTTTATGTCGTACAGTTGTCTGCCAGCCCATTCCTACTCAGCTCAAATCCTATCCTCCCTCCAAAGTCTATTCCTGAGTATCTTAGGCAGACTCAGACTTTCTGTGTTTCTTCTGGTCTTTCCACTTAATTCATATTATAGTTATCCTATTACATACTAGTTGTATGGGAAGTTTCTTGAGGTCAGAACTGTGTTGTACACAGAGTAGACATCATTAAATATTGTTGGATGAATGAATGAATGTTACAAAACACAATTACAGGCCTGATTTGCTGCTTATCACTGAATTTCCTGATACTCAGATAAGACAGTAGAAGGAAGAGTTTAGTATACTAAGAAAACTTCTACATGTGTTTTATGATTTTGTTTTCTCCATTCCCTATCTTTACAGATGCCTGAAGAACAGGCATTCAGTGTTCTGGTCAAGATCATGTTTGACTATGGTCTCAGGGAACTTTTCAAGCAAAATTTTGAAGATTTGCATTGCAAATTTTATCAGTTGGAGCGCCTCATGCAGGTAAGAAGGGAAACAAGCCTGCATTTAACAAGAGTACAGGACTGGGGAGAACTAGGTTGATGAAAAGTGCCGGGGAGCAGTGACCATTGCCTTAGCCATCCATGGTTAAGGACGGGTTTTATTTTTCTCATTTTTCACTATGTGATGATGGTACCAAGATTAATAGATGTAAACTTGATGTACATGAGCTGAGTTTTCAATCTTATAAACACCCAGAAAGTCAGATGTCTTTGTAGGGCCCTTTTTCACAGCCAACTCAGTCAAGAAATATTCACCACAGCTCTGAAGCTGACTAGTTAGGAATTTCATAACAAAAGTGAAACAGCTTTCTCAAACATTTCATAACTTGGAAAACAAAAACTGGCCTTCCAAATACTTGTCACCATTTTGGGGATTCCTCTTTCTTTACAGCTAGTTTGTAGACTGGAAAAGAGAACCGAGTGCCAGCTTAATACCACTCTGGATGTTTTTAGAAAAACACAATAATGTGACTTTTTTGGCCTATTCTTGGCAGATCTGTGAGCCTTCTGAGTGGGAGTTGGACAGCTGCATATGTGCCCAAAACTAATTAGTTTGCTATTTCAGGAGTACATTCCTGACCTGTACAACCACTTCCTGGATATAAGCCTTGAAGCACACATGTATGCCTCCCAGTGGTTTCTTACGCTTTTCACTGCAAAGTTCCCTCTCTACATGGTTTTCCATATCATCGACTTGCTTTTATGTGAGGTATGTACCAGACTTTCACTCAGTGTCCTTCTTGTGTCAGCTCTCTCAAAACAGCATTTGTCCTTGTCAGTGATTTTATTTCATTGCTGGAAAATCCAGGTTTAGATGACTCTTCCTTGGGCTGTTGCTAATGATCACATTTTGTTAAAGGTGTTCTCTGCTAAGAAAGGAAATATTAGACATTGATATTAGTTAGTATTAGATTTGGCTGCATTTAATAAGTGAAGAAACTCAAAATAATAGTGACTAAATAAAATAGAAGTTTATTTCTCTCTCATGTTGAAAAAAAAGTCAGAAGGTCGGCAGTAACTTGCCTTCTCTGGAGTATGGCTGTCCTCCTTATGGCTGAGTAGAGCTCCAGCCATCACACCTGTATTCAAGCCAGGAGGGGTGGGGGATGGGGAAGGCTAATAATCATCTGCTGCCAAGAAAAGTACAAAGTAAGGAACCCACAAATGGAAGTTTCACCCAGCATTTCCACTTAACTCTTAGTGACCAGATCTTAGTTATATGCCTATGCCTAGTTGCAATGGAGATTATATTTTAGCTGGGTAGGAATGCATTAAAAATCAGGGTTCTGTTACTAATAGAAAATAGATATTAGAATAAATAATAGTCTTTGCCACATTTGTTTTGAGTTTTGTATGCAGGGTATGTGTGTATGTTTAAGAAAAAAATAACTAATTGTAAAAATATTTATTATAGAAACTGTAGGAAATATAAACAAAAGGAATTAAAGATGCTTGCAATCCCATTTTCTAGAGGTGTCACTCCTTTTAGCATTTTGGTGTATATTCTTTCAGCCTTTTTTTCTGTTCGTATGTATGTATATAATTTCTGTATGGAATGTTATATAGTAATGTATATTATGGTTCTATATGTGTATACTTAAAAATATGATTATACTATATATGTGATTTGGTAACCTCTTTTTCATTTCTTATACTTCAGAGTCTTTAAGACACATTTATACTGTCATTGTTTTTATTTAATTATGCCATATTCAAGACATACAAAAATCCATAATGAATTTGTACCTATCACCCAGCTTGAAATGTTATAAGAAATAAACGTTACCAAGTGTATCATAATTCTTAATGGCTGCCCAAGTATTCCATTATTTGGATATGCCATAATTTATGCAAACAACTCCTAGTCTCAGACCTTTAAGTTGTGTCTAATTTTTAGCTATTACAAACAACCATTTGTTAAGTAGTTACTAAAGGCCAGGTGGCATATTAGGTAATTTAAAATAATTTTTTATTAATTATCTCAGGAAACCTTTAGGAGACTGTTAGTTCTTCATGGAAACGGAGGCCCTAAAACTTAAAGATTAAATTGATCAGCAGATGCTAGTGTCTCTCTGTGTCTGTCCTTTGCCCCCACCACTCCCAGAAGGGTTAGATGAAGAAAGACAGTACAGGGAGACCTGAGCAGAGCAGTTCATAGATGTAAGACTGAGGGACAGAGTGTTTGCTCTAGTTGGAGTGGGACAGCTCAAGATAAAGGAAAAGTCCACCAGAAATTATTTCCTGATAGATCACAATTTTCTGACTCTAATGTTCTGATTTGGAAGCATGGAATACTTTGGAAAAGCATTCTTTCTTGTTGAATATGAGAATAGGACTAGAAAAAGCTCTTGTCTCAGAAAAATGGGAGACTGGGTCTACTCTAAGTGGCTGTTCAGTGGTAGCCCTGCAATTGTTGTTTACCAGGATATTCCATTTCTTTACATAAGTTTTCACAATTTCTCTCAAATTGTTGGGTATTCTGAAGACACACAGCATAACAACCCAGATGTAAACACTGAAAATGTTCTTTTTGTCTTTTCTCTTTCAGGGAATAAGTGTTATTTTTAATGTCGCCCTTGGATTATTAAAGGTACACATTTATTCATAAGCTGGGTTATCTGGCATTCTCTGTTCAGCACCTGCAATGTGCTAGTCTGAATTTCGTTCTGAGCAGCCATTTACCATGCTCAAACGTTGTCCCTGAGACTGGATATGTGCAAGGGGCTCTGACAAGGGCTAAGAAGTGTCTTCTGGGGGATTGTAAAGGAGATGGGTTTATAAGATGCTTCTTGGGGATCTTCATAGCAAAGTTTTTTCTATACATGGTTGAATTTTCTTACTTTCTTCTTTAAGACTTCCAAGGATGACCTGCTGCTGACAGATTTTGAAGGTGCCTTGAAGTTCTTCAGGGTTCAGCTCCCTAAGAGATACCGCTCAGAAGAAAATGCAAAAAAGCTAATGGAATTAGCTTGCAGCATGAAGGTAAAATATTTTTGCACTGATTTAGCTTCTTTTGCTTAGTTAATATCACAGTGTTCCTGGTCAGACTTCTAACATTTACAGTAGGTAAATAGTAATAATAAAATGTTCTTTCGTATTGTATAATTCTTACCCCTTTTTTTTTTTTTCAAAATACTTTCCATATACATTATCTCCTATGAATTAGATCTCATTGGCCCCCTTAAACTCTAAGAAAGATATTATCCCCATTTTGAAGACAAAGCAAACTCTAGGTTGTAGCCCATCTAAAGTCATACAGCTGCTTAGTGGCAGAACTCAGGATTTCATGATTTCTACCGTGCTATCCTTTAACTTTCAACTTTTGTTTTTATGGTCAGAAATTCCCTAAAATAAAACTAAAATATCTGAAGAAAAGCCATTTGATTTTATCACTTAACGTGACATTTATGATGTATACAGGTCTTTTAAGGTAAGGAAAAAAAATAGCATCTTCTTGTGCTTGTGTTACAATAAAGTTGTCTTAAAAAAAGAAAAAGTAACAAATTTGTTGGTGTGGGCAAGTGGGGGACAGAATAAATAGTTATATTCATGTTTTTATAGGGTATGTAAAAGACTGATTGTCATATTTACTTTATGTGACTCCAGAGGGTAGAACTAGAATCAGTGTGTCAGAGCAGATATAGTGGTAGATACGCTTCACTCTTTACTAAGTGGAGCAGGGCTTGGAATCAGAAAGACCTGGGTTCAAAGTTATTTCACCTGTTTAAGGCTCAGTTACCTCATCTGTAAAATAATAATTGGACCTCCAGTTCTGGTTATATGTCAGACTGAGCTGACTCACCACGCTTCCTCCTTTAAACATATAAAAATATTGGATAAAATATAAACCAAAAAGTGTTTAAATACCTAGATAAACGTGAAAGAAATGCCCAGGTGCCTAAAACAAGGTAGCTCAAAGCTAGTGTGCATGTAAACTGAGGAAACAGCAGCCCAGAGGAATGTGGAACCATCTGTAGCTTTATGGGTTTTAATGCTCACACAAACATAGTAGATACGACTTTGAGCTTTCAGGAGGCAGCTGAAACTGAGACCTCTGCATTAAGCCGGGACCTTGGAATGGCTCTCCTGTCTGTGGAAGGGGGAATACAAAAACACTACCTTATTAGCCTAAGAAACAATAGAAATCATAATATAAAATCAATGGGGGATTTGAAAAAGAATGGAGTAGAGCTTCTAGAAGTTTAAATAATTATTGATGTTATCATTAAAAATAAAATACTGCCTACTTCACAGTTACTACTGCCAGCATTTTATGAGTTTGCTGAGTACCAGGCATGGTGTGTAAGTACTTCTACATGTGACAAATAACTATAATATCAGTGCTTACCATGGTGCCTGGTTATTAGTAAAGGTTCAGGATGTGATGGCTACTACTATAATTATTTACTTCTCGTTTTTCAAACAGATATCAAACAGACACTTTCTGGTAGTATTTTCAAAGAGAATGGGGCTGTGCACAGAGCATAGAACCAAGTGCGTTCTGAGATTCTTTGAGTTATTCTTCCTACTTCAGCCAGGTTCAGCACACAAGAGGATGCTGCCTCTTATTTGCTCATGATTTCTTCCCTCCAGAATGTACTCTTTTATTAATTTCAGCATCTCAGTTAGTGTTACCTGGTTCCTCAGGCCAAAAACCTTGCTGTGATCCTTGACTTCTCTTTCTTTTACACTCCACATCTTGCAAGCCCAATCTTCAGAATATGTCCTGAACCTGATCACTTCTTGCCATCTTCATCAGTAATACCCTAGTATAACCACCATTGTCATTTCTCTTCTGGATTATCCCAGTAGCTTCCTGACTGTTTCCTCAGTGGTCCCATTCCCAGGGTATTCTTGATCCCATCTCTCCCTTGCTTAAAACTCTCTAATGGCTTCTTATCTCAGAATTAAACTCAAATTCTTGCCAAGGCTTACAAGGCCTTGCACAATTTGGCCCCTGGCTGCCTCTCTGATTCCATCTCCTACTACTCTTCCGCCTTTCTCTTTCCACTTCAGACACCCTGCCCTCCCTACTGTTCTCAGAGGTGCCAAGCATGCTCACCCCCCTCGAGCCTTTGCACTGGCTGGTTTCTCTGCCCATAATGCTCTCCTAGATGTCTGCATAGCTTCACAGTCACCTCATTCAGGCATCCACTCAAATGTCATACCATCAGAGAAGCCTTCTTTAATTACACTTTCTAAAGTAGCAGCTCCCCTAACCTTTTACACTCTTTCTCCTTACTCTGTCTTATTTTTCCTCATTTCACTTACCACTACCTGACATTATCTGTTTGATTATTGTATGTCTCCCTTCCACTGGAAGGAAAGCTCTTCAAGAGAAGGGACTTTATCTCTTTTGTTCACTGCTGAATCCCCAGCACCTAGAACAGGATCTGGCATATAAATATTAGTTGAATGAGTGAATGAATGAATATGCTGTTGAGTTTCTACTATTTTACAAAGATGAGTTAACAGATATAGGAAAGACTTAAAAATAGTTTTAAGCAGAAGGTTTTTACCTTTTGAGTTTTCATTAGCTTGAAAAACTTTAATAATACTGTATATGGATCCTTTATTTCCATAGTCTAGATGAGGGAGGTGTCTAATGTCTTTTTTTTTTTTTGCCTGTGCTTTCCATGAGATCAGGCAGACAAGGCTGCCTTCAGCATGTCTACACAGCACGTATTTTGTGCTTACATATGATTGGGTACACCTTGGATGATTCTCCCTATTTACACCTGATTTTGGGTGAGAAAGATAGTAATTTTTCTTGAAATTGACTTACAGTATGGAAAGCCTACAGATTCACCAGGACATGAGAGAATGAGATTTTCTGCTAAAAGGTGAAATATGGTGTTAGCAACGATTACTGGTGGTTGTACTCTGGCAGCTATACTTAATATTCAAGAATATTAGTGGAGATATAGATGATAGTTGAGCCAGTTACTGGCAGAGAACCTCAGTCACAGTGCTGATTTGCCAGCTGAAAAATAAAAAATCATTGGCAAGCTCAATCATGAGCCCTGCATTCTGTGGACCACATGAGCTATAGGTACATCAGTCACCATAGGGGGTGTACATGATGATCTGTGGCTCCGGAGCCTCCTTCAGACGTAGAAAAGTGGGTTCCTGCTAGGTGAGTGGTTTGGAAACTAGATTTCGAACTTTTTGGTGTAGAATGTATAAAGGAAACGTTGATTCCACAACTCATTTAAATCCCATTCCATTTGTTTTTTTTAAATCATGGCTCGGTTCACTCAGATGTACTTCCTGACTAAGGTGAGAATTGAGAATAGTTTACCTTACATGCTAGTCCGGGTAACAGATTTACGTATTTCTGTTGTTGTAGTGTTTTAACATTATGATACTGTTGTAGTGTCCAATATTTGTATAGCTCTTACAAGCATCTCATTTCTTCCCTGCAGTACTCTGTGAGGTAGGTAGGGCAAATCAAATGTGGAAACTGAGGCTTATAGAGGTATCTCACCCAAGAAGACCTGGCAGGGCAATGACAAGGGCTCTGGTGGAACCTGGCCTTCTTTGTCCATATTCCTGGTGCTCTGTATACTCCACTGCCTCCTCTCATTGCAAAAGTGTAACAAGAATTACGTTTGGTGTGGCAGTACCTGAAATGGCCACAAGATGGGTGTGCTGCTCAAAAAAGTCTGTATTCCTCTCTGCCCATGAGTCTTCTTCTCTATGTATCTTTCTCTGTGTCTGTCCTTACCTGCCTGTTTGCTTCTCTCTCTTTCCAGGCCCTTTTCCCTCTTTCTCCTTAAAGTGAGTTTATTATGTCACTGAAATATTTTATTTATTCTTTAAGTTTTACATTCCCTGCTGACAGTCTACAGTTAAGCAACATACATCAAAACTCGTTCAGCTATCCACTGAATTCCTCCCCCTTGATGGATCAGTGCCCTGTGATAGAAAAATTTTTCTCCAATTTTGATGTAAGTTCTAAAAGGAGTTCTACTTTGGATAGATTGTTCCGGGAGGTCGTGAATGGTCCTGGGGGCTCTAAAACACTTCCATACTCCTAAATTTACCATACATTGTCTTTAGAGGGGAAAAAATTCCTAGGTCTTTTTATTATTCAAGAAATATATGAGAGCAACAGTTTGTTTCTTTATGTCTATACATATGTGAGGCTAGTTTAGAAGCAGCAGAAAGAGATGGCTCAGTGAGTTTTTTTTAGAACCAAGTGTTTACCTGAAGACTTTAACTTTACTCTTGCTGTAGAATTGTACCTACGGTGAAATGTAATTTCTGAACCATTAGCTGCATTGGCATTTGTTATTTCAAGCGTAAATTCGTTATTTCAAGCATAAAGTCAATGTGCCAGACTTCAAACTGCCTGTAAGAAAATATATTATTACTAAAACCAAATACTAATATCTCCAAATTAATGTAATCCTAAACATTTGCTATTTAGAGAAGCAGAAAACTCTTTTTGCCCTCAGGGGATATTTTTATTTGTGAGCTAGAAACACCACTATCTTTATTCCCTGTTCAAATCGTTTATGTAGTCAGTGTGTGTTATGATTTTAAGCTCTACAAGGGCAGTGACTTCACTGGACTTTTTTTTTTTTTTTGACAGAATCTTGAATAGTGCCTGATATAGTGAATTAATCCTCACAGTGACCATATGAGGTCATTTAACGGATGTGTATACTGAAGCTTAGAGGAGTGAAGTAATGGGTGTTAGTGGAGCCTGGGATTCAGTCCCAGGGGTTTCGAACTCTACAGTCAATGCTTATAGTCATTGTGCTTTACTATAAATGAAGGATTGAATGAGTGGGACAAGAGACACTTATATTGGTCCATTTTTGGTGATGTTTGTCATGTAACAATAAGGTAACTCAGTCTGTATGTCAGAGTTGAAAACTTGCTCCCTCTACACTGTAGTTTTATTTCTTTGCTTGTTACTATCTTTTAAAATTGGATTCCATGGGGAAACTTCTGAGTGGGTACTCTTTTTCTCT